TAGACATGTGAAAAGAAATAAAAGTTGAATGGAATTGAAGTGCAGTATTTAGATCTGTGTGTGGTAAAACGAGAAGAGGGCCAGGAATGCATGGGTGCTGAATTAATGTGGGTTGAATACAAACATGAATGATGATTCTGAAGGAAGTATAGTACATTGAGACACAGGTAGTCCTTGTTTAGCAACTACAGTTGGAACTGGCCATAAATGTGAGGATTGGTTGTGAGGATGACCTGTAGTTTTGATATAAACTGAGAATAAATTAAGATCAAACTGGGAAAAATAGCATTTGAAGAGAGAGTGAATGGGTTGAGAGGAAGGAGAAGTTCAAGAGAGTCACAAATGAATTAAGTTGGCAAGATTCTAAAAAAAAAAGAGAGGGAAGAAGTTTAAAGTACAAAAGGCAGTATAGGAAGCACTAAAAGGCCTTGATGAAAATGAGCATGGCCTGAAGTTGCATAGTGAGAGATAGTGTTACACGCTTTATTTTGTTTGTTATATCTTATTCCCATTCTGTACCTTGTGTTTCTTACCATTATCTTTGAAGTGAATAGTGTGATAGATAAGCATGTATGCATTATACAGAAGGACAAGATGGTGATGTTTCAGCATGCTTTTGGACTGGATAGCGACATATATATGTCCAAAGTTAAATGTATTTTCACTATTATTTTTAATTGTTTTGAAGAATCAGAATGGGAAGCAATAAAGAAATAAACTATTTGAATGCATTATATTTATCGGTAGAGGAATAAGTAAGTTCTATGTGCCACGCCATCAAAAGAGGTGTTGGAAGCCATCTATATTCAGTGTTAGAAGTAACGGAATAGCGCAAGAGGAAATAATGGATTTTGTACATTCCTGTTTTTTTCAACCCTTTTTCTGAAAATAAACATCTTATAGACTTTAAAAAGTTAAATAGTTTGCCTACCAGATATCTCTGCATCAGTAAGCTAAAGAGTTATTGGGGGAAAAAATCCTTTGGAGGCTTTGGGAAAAGGGAAGCAGATGGACCTCATTACTTTTGGACTCTCTTTGTCTCAGAAAAAAAAAACCAATAAGAAAACTCGCTATAATAAGCCTGCTTTAACTAGAAAAGAAAACATTGAATTTTGCATTTCTCTAATAAAAATAAAGAGACTTAACAAGAAGGAAACGCCAGACTTACTTCTGGATATTTTGGGATTTGACAAAGATGCTTACTGATTTGGATAATTTAAGTAGCATAGTTTTGGTGCACAGATTGTTTTCTTATTAAAGTTTATAGTTCTAATTAGTGATTATCCAAGGTATACTTTAGTGTAAACAACACATGCCTATCCTCATTTAATAAACAATATAAAGAATAAACTGTTTCCTGTTTAAATTGTGACTCAAGAGAAATTCTTGAGTGCTGAGACATTTACATAAAAGAGGTTTTGTGGTTTTTATCCAATATTAGTTGTCTGTTTTAATTAATACCGTGTGGTTGATGAGACAACTTGCACTAGGAATTAGACAGTACTAAGAAAGCATCTTTCTGGGAACGTACATAGTTAGTGCTCTTGTGTGCCCTGTTCCATCATGGTTATGTAGAATGGCAATATAATCTTCATTAATTTGAAATGATGTACAATATCATGACATGAGCTTCCTGGAAATTTAAAGGCTTGCAAATTTCAAAATTTAAGATAATCAATTCACTAAAGTATTTTTCAAGAATAAACATCACACTTTGCAAAAAGGCATCTGCCTTTAGAAAATTCTAATGTGGTCTATCCAGATGTGTTGCGTTATACATGGCAATGCTGGTAGTTGTAGTTTTCAGAAATCGGATGGGGAATTAGCTTAGAGAAGTTAGCATGTTCCTAAGAGTCCCAGTTTTTGTATACAAGAATTTTACTCCCAGTTAAAATGAATATCTTTGTTGTTTTTTTTAAAAAAATTGTCTCTTTCTTGTCTTCAATTTCCAGTACTATATAGAACTGATATGAAAAGATAAAAATGATTTTCATATATAATTGTTCTTATAAAATAAATGATAAGTATTGCTGAAATTTGGATTCTCAGAATTGCCTAAAAATCAAGAGAATTAAAATTGCATCGATTGATATAAACCCTGGGATAATCAATTGATAAATCTAAGCTTCTTTGCATACCATTCTCTCTGCCATACACTGTGAAATTGTAAATTCACTTAACTGGCATAAAAAGCATTTCATGTATCGGTAATTTGATAGTCATAAAACCTGACTGAATGCTTTGTACTGATATAGAAATATGGCTTAAGCAGACTAATTTAGGAGCCTAGGAAGAATATTTTATCTCGACACTCACCAGTCTTCTCCTCACATCTCTGTTTGGAGCTGTAACCTCTTTCTCCTTTCAGACTAATAAACTGTAATTCTTTAGATCAATGGTTCTTAACATTTTCTTCACCCGGGACCCCCTTTACATACCTTTTGTGGTCACAGACCATGGCATGGACATCCAAACCTTAACTCAAGATTTAGAGCACTAGACTGCATCAAGATCGCTGTGACAACATTGCGGCCTCCCAGGGGTCCACGGAACACAGGTTGAGAACTACTGCCTTAGATGGTTCACCATTGGTCAACAGACTTTTATGAGAAACAAGGCTTTAATTGTTCTTTGTGCACTGAGAGTCATATGACTCTGGTGAGTCTAAAAATTAATAAATTGATAAAGTATCCTGACTCATATATTGAAAATGCCCCGTACTTTTAAACATACTTAATGATTTACAACCACAATATTCTGCATGTATAGTAAACAAATGTAATCTGTCTGAAAAAAATAACAGACTTGCATAAATTATATTGCATTTAACCATTTAAACCTGGCACTTTTAAATTTCTCACTTATATTCTCTTGATTTTCTGTCAATTACTCTTATTAGTTTTATTCTGTTATTGTGCTTTACATTTTCAAATCCAAATTTTTAAGCTATTATGCAAGAATATGTATTTACTTTTTCTGACGAATGGCATTTATTCATTTGAAACATTCAAATGAATGTTCTTCATTTAAACTCATCTTCTAACAGACCCAGGACAGCTCCCAATAGAGAAAGATATCTTTTTAAATTAGTATAAGCCAAGTATTTGTGCTTATCCATCTTTAATCTTTAATTTCTTGGTTATTATTTGCATTTTTGCAATCTTCTGCTATTTTCTTAATCATTCAGAGTTTTAAAAGCAAATTATACTATACTTTTGATCTCTTTGGTACACTATAAATTTGTATTCTAAATAATCTGTATCGTATAATAGCATGCACACAGTATTTATATATTCATGTTGTAGTGGTAAGAATATAAGCTTTCCTTCCACAAGAACATTTTGTTAAAATCTCCTTTTGATCATTGAGATTTCAAAACCCCAGTCTTTTGTTGAAGAGTGGTATTAGCTTGGTCATATTATTCATCATAAATGTCAAATGTCATTACATTATGTCTGTTATCAATATGTTCACGTAATTTCCCCCCTCTATTATTATGGCTTAGAAATAGTGTTAAAACTCTGAGTTTAACCCTCACACTCATAAAATCAGAACTTCTTTTCCTGACTATTCAGAATAACAGAGTTGGAAGGGACCTTGGAGGTCTTCTAGTCCAACCCTAGGCAGGAAATGCTTTAGCTAAATTTCAGATAACTCAGAAAAATTAGCTTGAGTCTTCTAATAAATACCTTAAGTGTTCATATTTATGTATTTCTTCATTTACCTTTTCAATTTATATAGTCACTTCTTTGCTAAGCAATTCTGGGCAGATAGCAAGTTAAAAGCACCAAAAATATATCCACTGGGTGGGGGTGGGGGGAGTCACAAATCAATGCATATAAAACACAAACACTTAACTCACATAACAGAGCTCATACTTAATGATGACATATAGAGCATCCTGACCCAGTGCTCAAGGAAAGAGTCACATATTCAGCCTCTTTCTAAAGGCCAGCAAGATCTGGGTCATTTGAGTTTCAGAAAGCATAGCAACAGAAAAGGAGCTCCGTAACATAGCACTGTTTAATAGATAGGACCTGGAGCATAGCAATTCTGTCAGTTCTGATTAAGTGGACAGAGATACTTGCATAGTCCTTCAAATATCCTGCCTCTGAATAGCTTTATAGATGATAACCAGGATCTTGAACTGCAACCATAAACCATTGGTAACCAGTGCAACTTGTGCACTAGCATTGTTATATTGGCATCTTGAGGTGTACCCATAACTACCCGCATTGCTACATTCTACATTGCCAGCTATAGCTTCCAATGGTTTTGAAGGACAGTTCCATGTTAGAATGTATTGTAGTAACCAAACAAGAGGTCACCAAGCTGTGAGTGACTATGAGCAAATGCACCTGACTGAGGTACAGGCACAATTGATGTGCAAGATAGATTTGTCCAAAAGCTTTGCTATCCATTGCTGCTATTTGCAAAGAGGACTCAAGGAAGACCCCTAAAGTGCACATCAGTACCATCTCACACTTTATGTGTGAGATGGTACAGCCCTATCTAGAACTAAAGACGCAAGATCTCTAGGATCAGATTGCCTATAATGCCCACAGTCATTCAGTGTTGCTAAATTGAGCCTGTGCTTGTTTCTGTGGCTTGTTCCATCCAGATTACTACAGCCTCCAAATTCTGAGACAGAACCTAGACTATGTTACTTGGGCAAAACAGGGGTTAAGAGATGTAGCTAACCTATGTTGCCAGGTGATCTTTTTCCATTAAGCTTCACATAAATCTCCTATTAGACATCAACCCATAAACTAAGAGCCTAAAAATTAGTCTCCCCTGCCTATCAATCCCAACTGGAACTAGTCCCGATGCCATCCAGAAGACCCTTGTTCCTTTCATATATACTACTACACAGATAGCTAAATGTGAACTAAAGATGGGGGAGTCAGGGGGTGGGGACCCTTTGATTATGGTGCAGAATATGCTATGTTTGTGATTCATATACAGTATCTTCAATTGCTATGTGTCTCCTTTTCTTTTAGAAAAAGAAGTGTGAAAACGACCAAACAAAAATCACAACATTCTAGGAGCAGCTCACCAATATCCAAGAGTAAGCGAAGAAGAAAGTAGCAGACATGCTATTTTTGTTACAAAAATTTCCAAAATGGCTTTACTTCTAAAAATTTAGAAGCATATCTATTCTCAAGTTCCATTCCCAGCCATGAACATTGCTTTACAATAAATCTACTTTTCCTGTTAATAGCTGTACATTTAAGTGGCAAGAAAGTACTGTAATACATTCAGAATGTAATGTAAGTACTGTATTACATTCAGAAGCTTTTAGAATATATGCTGTTTTACTAAACCAACCTTGCCTTAACTGTATGTACAGTGGACTGCAATTACGATCATCTTCAGTGATGCTTCTAGGACACCATTTAATTCAAATTAGTTAGAAAAAAGTTGATTCAGGTAATTTTCATTCTTTTCCTGTACCTCTCTTTTTAGCACTTATGAATATGTTTGAATCATTATTCTGGATATATTTTATAGCCTGAGTTGGACCATGGTTTATTCTTTCATACAGTAAAAAAACCAAACAGAAATATTGTATGTATGTATGTAAAAAAAATGAAAACTTGGTATTTGCTCTGAGAGTATTGCTTTTTCAACTGTCTTCCTCTTTATTTAGTCTTTGACATCTATATTCTTAGTACAAGATTCTGTATTTATTTAACAATTAGAATTTCTAGACTAAAAGAAATTCAGACAAATGAAATTAATTCCAGATTGAATTTTCATCTGCCATTTCTTGATAAAATGATTTCAAGATCATGCCACATGAGATTATAATTACGTACTGATATTTTCCAAACCTAAATAAGTTAGCAACATGGCTAACAAAATGTCCACTCCTATGCATCGATTTAGATTGCATGACCTGTAAATCATTTCATTATGAAATTAATTTTGTTAATTATTCAACTGCCCAATACTTTCACTGCTGAAAAAATAGAAAAGTGCCTATTTTCCATTTCCCCCACCACCTTCTCCAAATGGAGTATTGGGGTGGATTCTAGAACAGATGTGGGGGAATAAGAAATTTAAGAGGGAGGGCAGGAAATTAAGATCTTGTTACACAGGACATCTTGCACAACTTTGGATTTCTCTCTCAAGTTATGTGTTCTATAGTATAGCCTTTGTCATTATACACCATGTATACAACAAAATTGGTTATTTCTAAAAAAATTCAGTCCTGTGATGCATGCTATATAAGATATATAACAAATTCTGCTTCCATCATACTTCATTTGCAGGAGTATACTGATGAGACTACTACTACTACTACTACTACTACTACTACTACTACTACTACTACTGCTAAATATTTTTCTGTTCATATATACATACACACACATCTACACAAACAAACATGTAATTCAATATTGAACATGGTTTATATATACCTTTGCATGCTAAATAATGAACACTTTCTAATCCCAAATCATAGCAATTTTTTAAAAAAATTAAAGATATTATTTTCCAAAAAGTGCTACTTCTGCCTTTTTGGGATTTCTTCTAAATCTGGAAACATAGCTGCTTCATCTCTGAAAATGAATTTTGGATAATGGGCGAGGAACATACTCTTTCCCTCTGACATTTATCCTCTACTTATTTCCTTAAATAAAGGAATGGCGTATGTCTGCCTTCGTTCTCTTTTCCTCCAGCTCCAAAGAAATGGGAGAAAGTAGAGGCTGCCCTTGGGTTAACAGATAAGACTACAGCTTGGGCATGAAATAGGAAGGCATTGTGTTCAGCCTCTATTCCCCATGAATGAGTTGAACTCAAAGTGCCCCTTCATCACAGAAGGAAACTTTCAGCTTGGTTGTGAAGTGAAAGGCAGAAGGGGTACCCTGATTTTGCCTGTATGCCCACTGGTGGTTCTGAATGTAGATTCACACAATCAGACGAAGAGACCTTCGGGGCTTTAGCATCTCAATGTGCCAAAGTAGGAAGGTGGAGGTTGGGTTTGCATCAAGCTTCAGATCTGAGTCCAGGGTGGACTTTTTAACCATGGCAAGTTGAATGACATTATCAATGCCTATTTAAATTTGTTTGAAGATTTAGCATATATATTAACACCAGTTATTTAAACACGCACACACACAAAAACATGTTATATACAGTTCTTTTTAATTTTTGGAATGAAAAATAAAATCCAAAGGCAAGTTCATCATTCTGATTTCATTTTCCTTGCAGTCGAGGTGATGGTATGAGCAGGGCTGTCTGTCTTGTGCTATGCTAAGCATTCACATCAAGGCCTTGCTTGAATTAAAATCTGGCTGCTTATTAATATATGTGCTTGCTTTTGACTGCCTATAAAATTTCAACCAAGTTTTGGACCTGTTCTTCAATGTCACTTTGCGGCTAACTTTCATCATCAAATTTGCTAAGATATTGCACTTACGTGTAAACAGTTCCCTGATGGTTATTTTTTTAATATCAACTTAGGAAAGTATTTCCTTACCAAATTTTTGCCAACTACTTTATATGAATTTTAATATTAAGAAGATATCGCTATGACCTATTAATAAAATCAAGAGCCTATGTGAAAAATAACTTTATCAAATTATGTCTTATTTACATTCCCTAACACAAGAGTTCTCTTTTGGTTTGCTTTCTTAATGTAATATATTCCTGCAATGTATTATATCAAAAGCCATAAATGTCAGCCCTGCTGCTTTGAATTTTAGTCTCTCTCTTTTTTAAAGTTGCTGCTTTATTTTGTTTTATTGTTTCTTGTGGATATCTCGTCAGACATTTGAAACGAGAGGGGTTTTTTCTTCCAATTTTGGGTATTTCTGAAGCATGTCTGATTTTGCTGAACTCCATCTGGTGCAGATCAAGGACTGTGTCCCAAAGGAAGGTGTGTGTGCAGTTGATGTTTTGCAGATTTTTTGTTATAAAAACTAGTTTTGATGTGCATCCTAAATTTCATGAGATTAATAGATATAATGGCGGAGGGGATCTATGTTAGTTTTGAAATAAAAGAATTTGGTAGCAGACTTATACTATGGTTTAAAAGAAAAATACCATTGATATTTTAAAACTTTCTTTAGGGATAATTATTCTATAAGCACAATTCAACTGAGACGAGGGACACACCAAGATATAAATGGCTTAATGGCCTAGCAAAAAGATGCTGTACTTAGAAGTATAGGATGCAATTCTGTTAAAGGAATAGTGATTGAGAATCTTTATATTGAGAGTAGACATATTTGAAATTTTGAGACTATGTGGTGAGTATTTCAATAAAGAGGGAGCTATTGGTTATTAAAAGGGCTTGCTATAATCAGTCACAAAATATTCATTTTTCAGCAGCAAAAGAACAATACATTATAATGTGATATAGGTAGTCCTCGATTTACAACCATTTGTTTAGTGACCTTTTAAAGTTACAACGGCACTGAAAAAAGTGACCTATGACCATTTTTGTCATGGCCATTGCAGCATTCCTGTGGTCATGTGATCAAAATCCAGACGCTTGGCAAGTGGCGTGTATTTATGCCGGTTGCAGTGTCGTGGGGTCACATGAGCATCTTTTGTGAACTGACAAGCAAAATCAATGGGAAAACCAGATTTATTTAACAACCATGTTACTAGGTTAACAACTCCAGTGATTCACTTAAACAACTGTGGCAAGAAAGTTCATAAAATGGGGCAGAACTCGATTAACAAGCGTCTTGCTCATTAGTGGAAATTTAGGACTCATTTGTGGTTGCATGTTGACCTGTATCTCATTATTTGCATTGTTTTATAATATATCATAAATTTGTATTACTTCTGTATCATGATTTCATCCTTAGGACACTCAGAGGTTCATCTGCCATGCATTGCATTTTTCAGTGAGTCCTTACCTGAAGAACAAAACACTGGGCTGCTGTCATATAGCTATTTGGGGTAGGGTGTTGATTTGTTTTGGGTTTTTTTTGTTTTTTTTTTTTAAGAAATGCCTCTGAGGCCTGTTTGGTCATCAAAAGCAATCCAGTAAATAGATGGTAGAAACTGACACTTTGCTTTGCAGCTCACCAGTTTCTCACAAAAACGTTGAATCATTTTTAAATAATTAAAATCAGATGGGTGAAGAATGTGACTGTTGCCAAGGGGTGTCAGATTAGCCCAGCCTTGCTCAATTCCATCCTGTTTAATGTTGTTCCCTTATTAGGCTGTTCTTTCTCTCAGTGTGTCAGAACTGGTGGTTGGAAGTTGCCTTCTCAAACATGGTTGCTTTCAGCATATAGCAATAGCACTTAGACTTATATACCGCTTCACAGTGCTTTACAGTCCTCTCTAAGTGGTGTAGAGAGTCAGCATATTGCTCCCAACAATCTGGATCCTCATTTTACCCACCTCGGAAGGATGGAAGGCTGAGTCAACCTTGAGCCTAGTGAGATTCGATCTGCCAAATTGCAGGCAGCCGGCAGTCGGCAGAAGTAGCCTGCAATACTGCACTCTAACCACTGCACCACCATGGCTCATATGAAGCAGTTGAGAAGCATCTTGGAGATGGCTGTGAAAAACAGCTTATTTTCAGCAGGGACAAAAAGCTTTCTTCATTGACCTGCCTCCTGGGACTCTCTTCACATGGTGGAAGATCATCATCAGCGTGGTCTTCTGTAGAAGACCATCAACAGAGTGGTTCTATCATGATCGAAATGACCAGTAACAATTCTTACAGGCTTTTGACAGTTAATCACTGCCAACCCTTGGACTTTACTGAGTTTTCCCATTTTTTTCAACTGCCTTTATAGTTTATGTATTTGTTTTACATTTGGTCATGTGCCATCTGGAAGCCATATGCGATAAAGCTGAAATACATTTTGTTTCCTTGAAAACAGATACTGAGTTTGGCTACAAAATATATTGCTGTGTCTCGTCTCTACAACAAAGCAGACTGTTTATTTATGTTAAAATTAAAAGCAAAGTGCCAGTGAAACACAGGTCTTTAATGAACGTTTACTTTTCATATCCTGTGAACTTATTAAACTATGTAAGAAAACAAATTTCTTGGCCTTATTTTAATTTTGATCACTCATTTAAAAAAATAAATAAATAAAGTTTGCAGGATCAATTATTTAGCCATTTTTTAAAAAATAAAAGAGCCCAACAATCCTTTTAAATTAATGATATATATCCAATTCCTGATCCAATTAAAAGTGAATAATATACAAAGGGTATGAATTAAAAACATCCCTTAAGAAAAATTAACAATGAAGCTCTTGCAGATAAATAAAGCTTTAAGCAACAGAATACACCATATTTATCTGGTATCTTAAGACAATTATATTTTTGCTAATATAGAGGTATGGTATTACTTCCTGATCCCTTGTGATTTTGGTAGTGCTGTAACAAAAGTTAACATTTATAATCTCTCTCCGTCTTATTTACTGATTACATTTTTTTCAAGCTTTTGGTACTTCTTTTCAAACTGGGTGGGTTCTGTTGATTATCCTAACCAAGAAGACAATTTGTAAATCTGTTAGGTAAAGAACTATGGACTTTGGAATAGTTCTAAAGACAAGCCTCTAAAGCAGTGTTTCTCAACCTTGGTAGCTTGAAGATGGGTGGACTTCAACTCCCAGAATCCCC